TCCATGGTAGGACGTCCATGGTACCGGTTTCTGCAACCCTTGAGGTGTCGTTCCTCGAATCGGCCAGTGGTTGTAGTCATGCTTCTCTTTGAAGTGGTATCGGCAGTGGTGGTCCACACACTGGAACCACGGGACGAAACGATGATTGTTCGCTCCCTTCCAGAGCTGTGGTACGTCCCCCACCACGTAGGTGAAGTCTTGGCCGTATCCTTGTGCTTCAATTTCTTGCGTGGTTTGACCGGTGCTGATGTACTGACGCCGTTGCCAGTATTCTTCCCATGTGGGTGGTGTGCGTCCTGCCCACCGTTCTCGTTCCCACATTTCGTTATACTCGGTCTCTGGTTGGCGCAATCCTTCCAACGTTTCATGTTCGAATCCCCATGTCGATGGTCCGTCGTAGTTGGTGCTGGGGTTGCGTTCCCATGTTTGGTCAGCGAGTTTCTGCTCGAGCTTGTGGATTTCATCGTCGAGTTCAGCGTTGCGTTCTCGCAGTTCGATTACTCGCTTCTGCAGGTAGACGACGTTCGGTCCTTCCTGCTCATCTCCTGCACTTCGGACCCTCCATCGTCCATCCGAGTCTTGGACCAATGGGAGTCCCCACGTCCTTGCCGTCTCCTGGACGTGTGCTGGGGGTGCGACTTCTCCGGTGTCGTCCGTCTCCAGCGTTCTTTCTTCGGGAACAGGGTTCAGGTATCGTTCAGTGTGTTCGTCAGCGTAGTTGGCAGCTGCGACCTCTGTGACCCTTGCTCCTCGAGTGACGGTTGCAACTTCCTTCCCTGGGACAGGCTTCCAGTCCTTGCGTGGACTGCGACATTCCTTCTTGAAGTGCCCTTTCTTTCCGCAATGGTAGCAGGTGATGCCAGTCTTGTCTTTCTTGGCGTTGCTCGGACCAGCCCACTGAGCCTGAGCTGCGTCTACATCCATCCTGCCCGGGTGCGTTCCGTAAGACGTGTTTCCTCGGCGCTGCTTCTTGTCGTTCGCCTTGTACGTCTGAGGTACTCCGCTATGTCCCCTGCGCTGTTGCTTGCGCGCGTATAGGCGTTCGTCGATCCGAACCGCCATGGCGATGTACTCGTCAAGAGAGTCAGGTCGATCCATCTTGTACAACTCGTCCTTGACTTCTTCCTTGAGTCCATCATAGAACAGCTGCATCAGCCCTTCCTCATTGATCTCAGCCCTCAGTGAGTCCTGTCGGAACTGAGTGGCATAGGCTGAGGCCGACTTGGTTTGCTTGAGTCGTGCAAGTCGTTCCTGGGCATGCAACTTCTCATCCACCTCACCAAACACCTTGTGGATCTCCTCCTCGAACCGCTCATAGCGCTGGAACACATGCTGAGTGAAGTCTTCCTGGTCGTCTCGGTCGGGGTTCTTCAGGAAGTCCTTTAGGGTCGGTTCGAACCACTTGAGTGCCTTGCCCTCCAGACGGGATGCAGCGAATGCGACCTTTGAGGCTTCGTTGGCAAACCGCTCGGTGTAGTACAGGAGGTAGGCCTGCATCTGGACAAGCCATCCGGCGAGGTCCTCCTTGTTGCCTCCGTACTTGGGTGGTGCTTCCAGCTTGGCCTTGGTGACGGCAGCGTTGCGGAGCTGAGCGTTCTCAGCCTCCAGCTGCGCGATGCGGTTGTTGGTCTGGGCCAGAAGCTGTTGAACCTGGGCCATGGTGACAGGGGTGTTTGCTCCCTGGGCATCGTTGTAGTTGGGGGGGGCACTGGTGTTGCCGG